ATTCTGGACTCTCTTGTGTCGCCACCCTCATTCCTCCAGTCGTAATACGCGCTTGCGCGCAAAATAGAGTGGTGTGTGGCGTTGATATTGAGATATTTTGTTTTTGAGTTAAAACATGGTGCTTTGCAGCACACCTTGCCTAGCTATATCCCTCCATGGGTATAACCTTATCATTGAGTCGCCACTAGCTGTGTTTCCGCGTCATCGGAATCACCTTTTGTCTCAATGGTGGTGTGGGGGGTCGAGTCGGGATATTCCTACAGCTCCTCTTTCCTTTGGATACACTTGTGAAGAGTCATATCTTTCGATTCATGATCCTAAATCATCAGCTATTAGTAGCCTTAGGATTTGAGTATAGAATCTGTATAGATGATCTTCAGGGTGGGCTAGTGTTAAGGAGTGTTGCTGTATGGCACAGATAGGGTACACAGTCGGTCTAGATTAAGATGGGGGACGTCAGGAGGTATACCCTCTTAGGACGTACCCCATCGGGACTTAGCTATCTGCGTGCCCCCAGGTTGAGGGCAATCCGCCTCACCTCAGACCTGTAGCAGACCCGCTTCTGCAATAACAAGCAACCTTCCCATCTCAACGTGCTCGTGGACAAGAGTGTCTACGGCAGAATCTACATCTACTACATCTAGGAGGCAAGCCACCGTCGGGCGGGCATTCCTTTAAACGAGTATGCTTGGGGTGGGGATCACAAATCCGTTGTCGTCAGAATTTTCGCACTGATCGATGCCGTCGTGATACAGCTGTCCAAGATTCGCAAATAGGCAGGGATGGCCGGAAAACATCCCCTCCCCCGGAAGGCCTTTCGTGGGTTGATTGAACCTCTGTAAGCTTCATCTCAGGGTAATTTTGGGGTTGGGGTCACAAATCCATCGTCAGAATATCGCAGGTTGGCTTTATTTTCGACCTACAGCTGCCCAAAGCTGCCTCTTTCATGAGCGTTCTCAAAAATCCTGATATTTTTCATCACCAGCTAGCGCGACCACTTTTGGTCATACCAACTTCCTGATTGGCTCTACACCCCCTAAATCGATCAAGCGGAATCGATTGCCGATGAAGGCAAAATGAAAAATTGCGGCTAAAGGTCTGTTCACATTTTTGATTTTTCACTTTTTTATCTTTTACCACGCCCAGACGACCGAGTTCCGATACCTCGGTGGTCTCGTCAACAAACATGGCGACCTCACCCGAGAGATCAACTACAGGAGCGTGGGTGTGCCTCAGGCGATATGGCCGGGAGCTCTTCGACAGTCCGCAAGCGCCATTCCGACTCAAGATCCGCCTGCTCCAGGCGGAGGCGATGGAGGCACTGCTGTTCGGCAGCATGACATGGTCACCACTCAGCGGCCAGTATCAGACGCTGCGGTCGATACACCACCGACTGCTCCTTCGAGTTATCGGGTACAAGCGCAAGAAAGACACCTACCGGCAGCTCTCTTACGCCCAGACACTGAAGAGGGTCGAATGCCAGAGCGTTGAAACCATGATCCGACAACGACGCCTACTGTTCGTGGGAGCATTGGCAAGGCAGCCGGACGGGCGACTCCCGAAACGACTGATGCTCGGCGAACTGGCAGGGCGGGAGAAGCGACGTAGGGGGGGACAAGAACAGAACTGGCCGAAGGGTGTGATCGACGACCTGCTCGGAATCCCGGTACCGAAAGACACGGCACCGAAGTTAAAATGGACGGAAGCCGCGAAGGTAGAGGGGGGAGTACCCTGGCATGTGGCGGTGCTGCAGGGAGCTGAGAGGTTCATGACCTCCTGGCACGAAAAGGAAGAAGAGGCCAGCCGACAACGGGCGCTCCAACGAATGTAATGGAGTAACTAGTGTATGAGCATTGTACGAGCGTTTCATGAACGTTGTATGAGCGCTTATTATTCGATATTTTGTATTTTCTTTGGATATGGTTAGTTGGCGTCGTTGAGGGGTATTGAAATAGCTCGAAGGAAGATCAAAATCCCAGCTCCTCTCCCTCACTCTCCGAGTGGGCGCTGAGCGGACCTGGTATAGGAAGGCAAAAACAAGAGATCAAACAACAACTGTGGTTACCCGAAGCCAGGAGCAACGAACTTGCTCCCTCCCTCGTTTATTTCTCTGTTCCTCCATAACATTGTGGCGTCGTCTGGCATTTGGACACCGGTCCTTCGCTTTGGTGGTGCTCATCGTTCGCGTGAAGCGTCTCGCATTTTATTCCTCTCGATTTTTTTTAGTTACCTGGTTTTAGAGAGGGCACTGTTTTGCTATCTCTGACTCACTCGGTGGGGCACTTGTTGTTTTGAAGTGTTCGCTTGCTCCGGTCGTGTACGCGACGGGCGTACAGACCCCATGCGCGAGGGCCTCCCCTCGCATGGCTTTGTGTTCACCAAGGGACGGCTTGGTGGACGCTGGCCCTTCTTGGCCTCCCCTCGCATGGCTTTGTGTTCACCAAGGGACGGCTTGGTGGACGCTGGCCCTTCTTGGCCTCCCCTCGCATGGCTTTGTGTTCACCAAGGGACGGCTTGGTGGACGCTGGCCCTTCTTGGCCTCCCCTCGCATGGCTTTGTGTTCACCAAGGGACGGCTTGGTGACGCTCAGTCTACCCTTCTTTTCCTCATTTGCTCTGCAAACATGCTCGCATAGGATTGCTCTCCATCCATGAATGCTTCGACCTTGTGCATGACGTGCATGTTACAAAAGACATGCCCCATGCCCCTTTGCTCCCAAGACGACACCTTTCTGCCTGCTTTCGGGGGAAAGCCTTACGCTTCTCACGCGCTTGGCTACCCCTCCGCGTGGCGGCGTCAGGCTGCGAAATGGCCGCTCTGCTGGCATGATTTGATGCCGTCTGGTTGTTGTACAGCAGTGGGTTGCGCTCGTTTGCACCATAATCGTGGGATCTCAGAAATCCGCGAAATAGGTGACGTTTTTGAGCATTTCGATCGGGGGCCTGTCTCCACCGATTTGTGGCCGGAGGACATTCTGCCGGCACCGGTTTTGGACCGTGTGTTACGTCTGCTGAACCGCGGTTTTGCCAAGGCCGGTCGATCGAAAAGAAGGCCGCGAACCGCCACTTTGTTTTGTCAAGCGAAAATTTTCGCTCTTCGCATTCGTCTCCCGATTTTTTCTTTCTAGATCTAAACTTTTGTTTCTGCTGCATCGTGCATTTGGTGTTTTCAAGATCAGCTCATGCCTTTTGCCCTCGCCGCCTTGAAGATTTTGGATGGCAAGAGCCGGCACTCTCTCCACGATTGGGTCTCGACCAGCCACTCGATCAGCGACTCGCCCGCTGATGATGCTGTCTTGCCGTCCTCTTTTCCTATTAGTCTATTGCTGATGATACCGCTGCTGTTCTGCCGTCTGTTTTTCCCCCTGAGGAACACACACATGTATGTGTCACCCATGGCAACTCAGGGTGCATGCATGTCGGTTGACCTCGACACCACCGCAGATTCCGCTGCGATGGCGAAACTGCAGGAAGACCTTTTCACTGACACGCATGTCAGCTCGGTGACGGCAGGAGAGCAGGGGAGCTCTCCTGCTGCAGGCACTCTCCCGGCGTCGAGGAAGACAGACGATGGTGGTGGCACACCTACTTTGTCTCCTCCCGCTCGGGGTCAACTCGGTTACCGTGGACGAGTACTGCGGTGTCGCCAGGCGCCAGTGAGGGTACTGGCTCCGGCGGCATCCCCCGTCAGCTTGCTGCTGTCTCTCAGGAGACCGCTGTTGTGGCTGTCCCTGCGCTCTCAACCCCTGAGCTCGAGGCACGTGCGCCTCGCCGAGAGGCTGATCAGCAAAAAGCACGCGAGCACCATGCTCGTCTCGAACAGGCAATCGCCTTGGCAGAGGCAGCTGCGCGCGAAAGAGCGGAGCGTCTGCGTAAGGTACGTGAAGAAGAGTTACGGCTCCAAGAAGACGCGGAGGCGCAGCGTGAGCACACGGCATGGATGGCATCTGCTTCTGGGACGGCCCGTGATCTAGAAAAGCAGTTGGCACGTTTTTCAAGCCGCAGAAAATTCTCGGAAAATTTCTGCGGTAAATCACGTGTCTGACGTTGCGGTTGCCGTTCCTGCTGTTGCCGCTGCTGCCCCTGCTGCTGCCCCTGCTGCTGCTGTTGCAGTTCCTCCTGCCGCTGCCGCTGCTCCTGCTGCAGTTACTGCTGCTGCTGATTTTGCTGCGGCTCCTGCCGCCGTGACCTCTTCTGTAGCGGCCGCGCCTGTTGTAGCTGCCGTGGCGCCTGTCGCAGCACCTGTTGCCGCTTCTGTGGCGACAGGTGTAGCTCACGCGTCTGCTGTTGCCAATGCTGCATCTGTTGCCGCGCCTGTTACGACTGGTGTAGATGCTGCGCCTGCTACTACTGCTGCTTCTGATGCAGTAGCCTTTGCTGCTGTGGCTACGGCCGATACGAGTAGCTTTGACAGTGATGCTGCCGCGGTTGCTACCAGCACCATGCCTGTTGAAGAGGGAGGCGCACGGACTCGTAGTCGGAGTTCCTCCGTGATTACTACCATCTCGGCCAACGGATCAGTGGGACACGTCAGGAAACGGCGCAAATCTCGCAAAACCTCGTCCAGCTCGTCCTCTTCGGGCACCGCTTCGTCCAGCTCGTCTTCTTCGTCTCCATCGTCTTCCGATGCAGGTGATTTCGAGTCTAGTCCCTCGACACTAGACTTCTAGGTCTCAACATCGACGGTTTAATCGATCGAGTTCGTCAACACCAGCCTTTTTGTGACGTCATAAGCTAAGGATGCTGGCCTTGCGCTAGTGTACAGGATCTCGGTTGATCTCGTTTCTCAGCGTCGTGAAACGGTTGCAAGTGCTCGTGTGTTTGGATACGGACTGGTTAGATCTACCGGCAACAACAGAGGGCACGCAGATGGGGCATATGTACCCCTTGATTGCATGTGCGGGTACCACTCGCACACCAAAGAGGGCTTCACTTCTCCCTACTCCCCTTGCGTGTCTAATACAAGAGGTAAAATGCCTTCCCCTTCCAAGTAAGGGACATATACCAACACACTAGTGTCAGTCCCTCAAGGGAGAGTCCATTAGGAATGTCAGTTCGCAAAGATGGGGGTGACTCCTCCACCGACTCTGCGGCGGAAGACAGAAAGAGGTCAAGAGAAGAGCTCGTGGCCCTGAGGACGCAAGTTAGCTCGCTGACGGATCAGATGAGCCAGCTAATATCGCTAGTGGAAGATACCATGAAGGTAATCAAGAAGGAGGAGCCGGCTGGCACAATGGAGGGTGCCGCTGATCGCGGCGATGCTAGGGAGAGCGCCGCCGCGGAGTCCACGAACGCCGAAGGAGGAGGGGCACCGTGGACCGGGAGTGCGCGGGACGGGAGGTACCTGCGCGAACCTGTTCGAGAGTCTGGCCCGTCAGGGCGACACAGCGGCGAAACAGGGGGCTTTGTCCCCCAAGAGGTGAGAGTAGCCGCTGCTCACAACCGAGATCATAGTAGTGCCATGGGAGATGGTGGTGCTGCAGTTGGCTTTGGATACGGAGCCACAACCCCAGCGACGGGGTACCGAAGTGTGCGGTACACTTCTCCTCCGTTCAGCGTGAAATCGAAAGATTTCAACAAATGGCTAAATGATTTCCGCATAGCAGCTAATGGCGCAAACCTGTTGAAACTATTTGAAGAGAGCGGGAGCTTAGAGATCCCCGTCAACAGCGGAAAGAGTAAGTTTTCGCTGTCGCAGCAGTACCGGAGCGAGCAGGTAGGGCGCGCATTCCACGCGTGGAACTTCCTGTCTCACGCGTTGAAAGAAAAAGATCGGAAAATCATAAAGAGGGCAGAGACGCCCCAGGGAGCTCGCGACCATACACGACCCTGAATCATCTGTACAGCCGTCAGAGGACCTCAAGTCCCTGACGTCGACCAATATCTCTAGAGGGGAAAACCCCCAAAACGCCCTCAATGAGATGCTCCAAACCGCAAAGTCCTTAACCGAGAAAAGACTAATTGTCAACGAAACGTTCGTCCTTCACCTTTTCCTGGATGCCCTTTCGGACGAGTATGCCATGACAAAGCACAACCTGCGACACGCGAAGGAGTTGACGCGGACCGGTGTGCTAAAGGAAGTAATGATCGAATACAAGGCGATCAAGGACAAGCTGGAGCAGGGGAAAGGAAAAGGGGCGAAGGGCGCAGAGCAAGCGTACTTCGCCGACGGTGAGGGCCGCAGGGAGCGGTACTCAAGTAGGAGTCAGGGGCAAGGTCGTGGTCGTGGCGGCGGCCGTGGCCGCAACAGCAGTCGTGGCCGCGGTGGAGGCGGTCGCGGCGGCCGCTCAGGCGGATCCGGAGGAGTCGAGGAGAGCAAGGGAAGCAGCAGTGGAGGTGCCGATGGCGGCGGTGGCGGGGACTATAAGTTCCCGGGCCGGTGCTTTAGGTGTGGACGTCGTGGACATCAAGCGATCGGCTGCACTACCAACGATAGGGACTTCGTGCCGTGGTGTGCGCGCTGCGAGGGGTGGGGCCACACCAAAGGAAAGTGCGCGACGGAGGAGGCCGTCCTAGTGCAAGTGGTGGAGCATGAGAGCGACGTGGACTCCGTGGAAGACCAGGCGTTTTGTGCCGTGGCAGTCCCCCCAGGCGAGTGTGGTACCGTTGGTGAAGTAGGTCTTGTGGGGGTTGTGGAACAAGGCCAGGCGGTGTACGTGGCCGACCCAGCGGTCACGTGCTCCATGTTCCGATGTGCAGACAACTTCGTGAACTACCGTGAGCGTAGCGGTTGGGTGAAGGGGATCGGAGGCGACAAGGCCCCCGTTCCTCTTCTAGGATACGGAGATGTGACCTTAGTCCTACAGACGGAAGATGGTGGAGTACCCGTACCAGTACTGAATGCTGCCCATGTACCAGAGGCCCCCTACAACCTCCTCTCGCTGTCTTCGTTGGCGGAAGAGGGCCACACGTATTCGGGGATGATGGGGGGCCTCACGCTGACCACGAAAGCCTGGGGGGAGGTACGGTTCCCCGGGACTGGAAAGCTGCTGACCCAACGAGGCTATCAAATAAAGCCAACGCTACACACCGCATGTGCCGCACTCATTGTTCCTGGCGATGCGAAAGCAGCCACCCCCACTGACCTCAACGAGTACCACCTCGCGCACGGCCA